AATATGTTCTCCTAAAATTTTTACATACAAACCCAGATAATTGTTTTGAGAAATCAATTTATTGTTGATATAATATAATATAATTCTGTTTTGTCATTTCTCTAATTTATCAGTTTTCATTCTCGTTCTTTTTCAAGGATTTTTGGGTGGGCAAGTACTTATTGAATCCTCCATAAAGTGATTTAGAAATGTCAACTGCAGCTTCCAGAAGGCTTATTACCTTGGGCTAACTTCTTCGAATTTGCTTGTGTTGCTTTGATAATTTATCAGCTCTTGGTTGATGTAATTTATCTCCCACTTGAAACCTGTCATATGTTGTCATCAGTACTCTTTTGCACCTAGAACCAGGAAAAAGCTACTACAGTTGATTTGATCTTTGCTAGCTGTTTCTTTTTTTTTCCTTGTACTCTCTTTGTCCGGTGTGCATAAGGCTAAAATTTACGGCAAGGTATTAACTAGGATGGATGTATGGCTAGGCAGAGTCTTTTCATTAGGCTTATTTTGTTATTCAATGAACAGATGCACTACTTGCAGAGGGCATTGCATTTCTTCACATCTCACTTGGACATACCTAATTTGAGCCTATTGTAGGTTGAAGATTGGAAGGTGATGATTGGACCCTTGATAGATAAGCTTTTTGCTGAGCCATCAAATGCAGTAATAGTCAGGTTCTTGAGTTTCATAAGCGAGCACTTGGCAAGTGCAGCAGATTTTGTCTTTCAACAGATTATTTCTTACACAAGAAGGCAGAAGGAGTGAGTTGTTCCTCTTCTCTTTCCTACTCCTATATTAGGAAGTAACTACCTGTTATAGCATTTCTTTGGTCCCGGTGGCTTCTTTTGTTAGTGTTGCAATATCAAGAGTATATTTAATTAGACTCATCCATGTCTAGATTCATTGTACTTAAATGAGAAAAATATCTTATTGAATATTATCAGTGTTGTCAAAGGCTCATTTAAGGCGCGTTTTAGCCCTGAAGCTCATAAAAGCTCAAGGAGGGCGCTTCGCCTCACTTAAGTTGCGCTTCGGTGTAGGCAATGCACTAAGGCGTGCAACTCAATGCCCATGGGTTCTATCTTAAACTGGACAATACTAAGCAACAAATATTATTAGCAAATAAGTGTATTAGTTTCTGAGGAAAACATTAGCAGTGAATTTGTTTCTTTTTTTCTGTAATTACATATGTATTTTTATTTTTTTTCCTTAGTTAACCTTTTTTTAATCAAGCCCGCACTTTATTTGCGCTTAAAGCCCCAATCGATCTGGAGCGCCTTTTAGAGCTTTTCACTTTTGACGACATATAGGATATCTTAGGATATTCTGTATTTAGTGATAGGCTATTTACTTATCTTATTAATATAGAGATGGTATTTAGCCTATGATTACCTACCTGTTTCCTGTTACGGTTTTATTTTATTTGTTTACCAAGTTTATAGACTGTGCAGCGAACATGCAAGCTATTTATTTGGAATAGGATGAGAATTCTCACTGCATAAATGAACAAGTCTATATTATTTGGAATTTTTATTTCCTAGACATTTGGATGTACAGTTGATCCAAATAAATAGCTTGCATGTCATATTGACTCTATTTCCAGCAGCCTTGATGAGGGTGCACATCCAAACTATGATGCTGCAGAACGGCAGCTCGATCTTTTTAATCGTCTCTGCCCATTTCTCATAGTGAGGTTGCTTCCCTTACGAGTATTCGACGATCTCAACTCATATGCTTTCTATGATGAACTTCCAACCAAACTGGCTACACATGGTACACTCTGGTGCTTTTAGTTATAACCTATTTTGTTTTTATTCTAACCCTCGTCTTATAGCCCACTTTGCTGTAAAGCCTCACCCCCCCTCCCCCCCTTTTCTTTTTCCCCTAAATGTCTTCCCAAAATCCACAAATTTAACCGGCATTACCTCCAGATGATGAATGCTTGGGAACTCAAAGCACTGAATGTGTGGCTGGACTTCTGATCAACAGGTACTCCCAGAAGCTAATTTTTTTGGTTTGTGAATTACCATGTTTTGAAATTTCTTCATTTCTCCATGGTGCTCTTTGCTTCAGGGCATTGAGCAACTCTGAATATGATGATGTTCGAAGACTTGCAGCTGAGCTGTGTGGGAGAATTCACCCAAAGGTGTGTATTATTGTCCCTTATTTAACCCTAATATACAGCAACTCCAGAATCCTAAGAGGGGAATAAAATAACTCAAAATGCTGCATGTGGTGACTAAAATGACTAAAAATGCTGCATACTGTTACTCCTCCAGAGTGCAAACTTTACGTGACTCTAAAGTTTCTTTGCCCGCTTGAATTGTTGAATGTAGAAAACACTAGCTTTGACTCTTTGAAAAGGCATTGGTGATAAGTATGAGATGCCAAGAGTTGACACATACTTAGGGTAAAAGTACGCACCATTGCTTTCAGAATGATGATTTACAACAGCTGAGAGATCATTCTTTCAACTCTTATCTGGTCACTCTGTGGTTGAGGGGATTGAAGACATGCAACTATTAACGCGCCAGAAGTTGACTCGAAAAATTGCTAAATGGATGTATGTGCAGTATAATAGATATAGTGCTAAATCTTGGTAATTTACATGGTCAGAACGTTTTTAGATTGCAAATTCACCAAACCTATTGCTGCGGATACCATGTAGATCATATGATTAAAGAAGGTATGTTTATTATCTAGAAAGTTAATGGCCATGGTTCTCCAGTAGTCAAGTAGTTTGTCTTTACCTTTTAGATAAGGCTCACAGGGGTCATGTTTTTCTTATTCATCGGCCCACGACCTCATGCTAAATAGTATAAAGTTGTGCCATTTACCATCCCATATGGTCTACCATCTCCAAAGCCCTGGGTTTGAGGTCCCAAGGTTAGGGAAATGTTATTAAATGCCATCATTTCATCGCTTAAAGCGAGGAAGTGACGCGAAGCGAGGGGTTATCGCTTCATAGATGAAACCATGTTCTTCAATTAAATGTGTGCTTCAAACAATGACACGCGAATTGATCCAAACAAAAAGCGCTTGGTTTTTCCGCTCTCAACTTTGAGGAGCTAGATTAATTACGACATTGTTTTGTATATTAGATTCTGAAATTAATTATCATAATTGCAATTTGATTACTATAGTAAATATAATATGTTTGGTATTTTTTGTTGGTTATTTTTTCCTATGCTGCACCTGAAAGAAGCGTGCGCTTCACTTTTCAATTTTTGCTTCGAGCCCCCGTGAACATTGTCATGTTTTTGTGCTTTTCACTTTTAAAAACACTTGGTTAGGGTGTACCTTTCTACTAGTCTTATGTCCTGCATTTATTATACAGTTATATTTTCTTGCATGTTATACACCTGGCTGGGGTTTAGGTAGTGTGAGCCATGAATATGATGTTGGATGCTCCAATAGCATCAAAACGGGAGGCAACAATCATCTGTGTTAAATGCATATAGTGATCATTATAATTCTAAGTTGTATGAGTTGGTGAACTATCAACCAGTAACTGCCTCACATAGAAATGGTCATTTTGGGTCTACACAGTCTTCTATCCAACTATTCTAATATCTGCTACCTGGCCTGCTTTATAATATATACTGCTCTCTCACTCCTCTCTAAAATTTTATACTCCGGTCAACTGCTGCAGCATTTATAGTGATCACAAATCATAGTAACATCATAAATTTTAACAGCTATAGCAGGGAAAAGTTGTCCCTCTGTTTAAAGTGTTGATTGTATGCATTTAACTGTTATTGCGCAATTGTTGATTTGCACAACCTGTAATTACGCCTGTTGCACTGGCTTAGTGCAAATATTTATATAATATATTATTTACCCATCAAAAAAAAAAAACTGTTATTTCTAATCTATTATATAGTCCCAAGTCCTCATATGCTCTGAGTTTCCCCCCAATTCTGCAATAGTTAACATCAACATTTGCTGCCTCTGTATTCTGCAGGTTCTCATTCCAATAATGTCATATCAGCTGAAAAATGCCTCTAATTCCAAAGATTTACTGAAGATAAAAGCTTGTCTATTTTCAACTTGCACATCTCTCTTGGTAATAATCTTTCTTATGACAGTTATAAAGCTTTTGACACGTGTTGAACTTTTAAGTTTCTGATGGTTCCCTCTTACTACCTACATATTGCTATCTGCTGGGGTCCTAATCCTTATTGTCCATCAAACATTCTGGACAATAGGTAAGAGGCACAGATGCATATGCGCATCCTGACGTTTTGCAGATAAGGAAGGCAATAGAGACTGTCTTATTATGGCCTTCAGTGGATGGGGATGATAGTAAGTAACTAATGATTCTCTACACTACTCATGTCAATTCTTAATTGTTTTTCACTGTTAGATTTTTTTTCCTTCAGTTTCAAAGGCACAACATGGTTGCATTGACTGTCTAGCATTGATGCTGTGCACTGAATTGCAAGCCTCAAAAGCTGTCAAGAACTCAACATCGAGTGAGGCTTGTTTTGAGCAGAGCATTGTCTCTTTAGGTCGTTTCTTTTAAGTTTATGCAAGCAACCTTTTGCTGCTATGCTAAGAGACTAGTGGACATATGCAGGGGATTCTGTCGCAAAAGGCTCAGTCTGCAGTTACGTGATCCACCAGTTGGCTTGTGATGAAGATACCATTATTTCGTTGAAGTTGGGTAGAGATGAGGTGCCAAAAGCCCACCTCTCTTTTCGGTTGTGCATGGCAAATGTGCTGATTAGTGCTTGTCAAAAGGTTCCTCGTGCTAGCAAGAAACCATTTGTTTCGAAAATTCTTCCTTGTATCCTCCATTCTGTCAAGGTGTTCTACACTTATGTATTTATCACCTATTTCATTTCGTTAATTATCATCAGTATCATTATTTTGGGTGATGACTGATATTGGCAACTCTAGTCGGTTTCTAACCCTTGCAATTTTTCCAGGAAATTGCAGATTCAGAAGTCAGGGCTGCATGTATCCAAGTATTCTTCTCAATGGTGTACCATCTAAAGTCTCTAGTTCTTCCTTACTCTTCCGATCTTCTCAAAGCGTCGATAAAGTCGCTTAGAGAAGGATCAGAGAAGGTATTTTTGAAAATTATTGATTTATAATTATACTTGTTTAATCTTGAACTTTTTGGCTGTGCTTTCAATCATTGCTCTATTTATGTACCTAAACCACTATCTCTCTCTTCACTTTATGCATACAAAGCGCTACTTGCTCTCTGGTGTACCCACATGCACAAGTACCACTATGTAGTGCGCCATGGCGAAAATGCCATGCAACATGAACCCTTTATTAAACATTCGACTTCGCAAGGTAGAACCAATTTGCATGAAAATGTAATTCTTGTGTTAAAATGGGCATCCATTTTTCTCTCGTCGCCTTATTCATTTCAGCTTGAATCTCAATTATGAATTTCTCCGTGAAAGAAACAGGCAAAGTAACTTTTGAAAATACTTGCTCTTCCTTGGAATTGAAAGGACAAGTTTGTATAAAGCATCTAATTTTCTGGTCCTGGTTAAGGTTCTCTCCTTGGACACGAGTAGATTTGGTGCTTTCGTGGAAAAGTATCTTCGGTCAGTCTCCATCTGGTGCCTTCATCCCACTGTGTGACCCTCTGGAACCGAAAGTGTCACCTCCAGATTTTATTGATGTGGTTGAAACGGGTCATCGCTTGCTGTTATCTGCTAACATTCGTCATAGGGCTTACCTTTCTTTATGGTTTCCGTTTTCCTTATTATTGCCCCTGGTGCTTCTATCACCTAAACAGAAGTTTATCCTAGTAATAGTTGGAGCCTATTGTGGGAGTTAATTTCATACTTTTCGTAACGAGTTTGTCGTTTAATTATTCACCAGGAAAGGATTGCTGGTGCCAAGTTACTAGCATCTTTAATGGCGAGCGAAGAGACGGTTATACAGAACATTTCTGGTGGCCTTCTGGAGGCTAGGGCCTTACTTCAAGATATATGCTCTTCAGATCCTTCGTTGGATGTACGGAAAATGTGCCAGAGATTGCTTTTATGTTTGACCTCTGTGTAAAAACTTGGTGTTTTTTTTCTGTTTTCTTGCCGCCATTGTCTCCTCAGTTATATACTCTTGACCTCTGTGTAAAAACTTGGTGTTTTTTTTCTGTTTTCTTGCCGCCATTGTCTCCTCAGTTATATACTCTTGACCTCTGTGTAAAAACTTGGTGTTTTTTTTCTGTTTTCTTGCCGCCATTGTCTCCTCAGTTATATACTCTTGACTTGTAAAGTACAGCTACAAATGTACAGTGAATTCAATAGCTTGGGATACTATGGTAGTTTCTTCCTATTTTACCAAAACAAAATTGTAAACACCAGGTAGGGGTTACTTTGTTTCAACAGAATTGTGGCATAAGCTAGTGACGTTTCTTTATATATTTAGCTTTTGGAAAATTATATTATAGTAATTTGATAATATTAATCCTGTACTTCGACAATTGCCTGCTGTTATTTCCTAAAGTTGAAGAATTGAGGTTAGAAATTATTCTAAACTTGACTAACCTGTTGTTAGGACACCTATAATAGAAAACGAGGTAATTATTCTATTTCCATAAAATACCGGCGGAGGTGGAAATAATGGGTGATCTTTTACCATCTATTCAAGTTTTGGTTTAACAGTATTACTTGGTACTTGTGCTGGTTGGAGGTAGCAGGTAGCCTGTGAAATTAGTTGAAGCATGCGCCAAGCTGGTCCGGACACCATGGTTATTCCAAAAAAAAAAAAAAGGAAATTGTTGAATTGCATGGATATTCATACACATACGGAAATTTTGGTACCTCAAAGTGATTGTTTGAAAGTAGGTTAGTCGAAGGGGAACTAGAAAATTAAAAAAAGGGCAGCCCGGTGTACTAAGTTTCCGCTATGCGCGGGGTCCGGGATTTAAGAATTTCTAACGAGGAATGCGCCACAATAACTTTTTCATACACAACAATACTTCTGAGAATTCCAATAAAAAAATTCACTCCTTTTCTTTGTATATTAATTATGGTTAAACTTTCACTTTCCAAAAGTTGGCGACTAATGATACCATTATTGATAGTTTTTATATTACGTAAACTCATCTTAGGACATAAATAATGCTAATAATATTAATTATTATTTGCTCGTCAACTTGTTGTCACTGTTAAAAAATTTATATAGTTAAACCCAACATCTATATTAAAAGTAGTGGTGCGTCCATGTTCTTGAAATCCTGGATACCTCTAACCTATGCTGGTGGTAGGGGTGTACATAGGTCCGGTTGGTTTGGATTTTTCAATTATCAAACCAAACTAATGGTGTCGAGTTTTTAAATCTATAAACCAAACCAAACCAACAAAGTTAGATTTTTCAATCTTGATTTTTCTCGTATTTTTCATTTTTTTTTCCGGATTTTTGGATTTTTTCCGGTAAAGTCTTCGTGACACAAAATATGCAACTCATGCTCCAAATATTTCTTTAGTCCTAGTAAGATACAATTATATAATGTATTTTTCAAGAAAATAATACAATAATATGAGATAAGTCATAGCATTATACTAAAATATTTAATAAAAAATAATAAAATTGCATAAATCAAATATTGCTAATTGATAAGCCATAATAAAAATTAACATAATCTAAGAATACTTTATATAGGTCATGCTAAAATAAGCATAGCTAATAAGTATTATTAATTACATAACCAAGCACTAAAGAAAAAATAAACTAAGTTATGCATTTTCATTATAAACAATGTAAAACTAAAAAACAGATATCCAATACTATCGCCATTATTGAATTTCTTTTGTTAGCATTAGTATTGATTTGAACTTTGTTTGAGTTACAATATTTATGAGCTATAAAATTTATTTACCATTCAAGAATGTTAAGTCCACACTTGAAATAATACGTCAAAAGATAAAACTGTGACAAAATTTAAGAAATATTTATAAATTATATTACAATAAATATTTATATGTATAAAAATATTTTTAAAAATTGTATAAATGTACTATCGGGTTGGTTTGGCTTTATTTTAGTTAAAACCAAACTAAACCAATAATAGTCGGATTTTTTCTAATACCAAACCAAATCAAAATCAGTTTTTTTCCTGGTTTGACTCTGATTATCGATTTGACGCGGTTTATCGATTTTTTTTTGTATGACCTAGCTGGTGGGAGATAACAGATAGTATGTTGAATTAGTCGAGGTGAGTGCAAGCTAGTTTGGACACTACGGTTATGAAAAAAAAAAAAAGAAATGTTGAATTGCATGTTTATTGATGCACACACGGAAATTTTGGTACCTCAAAGTGTATTTGAAAGAAGGTTAGTCAAAGGGGAATTGGAAAACATGTTAAGTCGATTTTAGAATTCCCAACAAGGAATGCGCCACTGGAACTTTTTCATACACAACTATACTTCTGAGAATTCTAACAAAAAATTTCACTCCTTTTCTTTTGAATATTAATTATGGTTAAACTTTCACTTTTCAAATTAAAGTTGCAAAGAGAATCAAATTACCCTTCGCTAGGGAGATTCGACGGTCAAGATCCTCTCCCAAATGAGTTTCATTCCAAATAGCCTATTCATGATTTTGTTGGTTTAGCCAAGAGGTTTGTTACACATTTTTGTCTTCTACAAAGTCTTAACAAATTTCTCATTACCTATCTTAGTTTAAAACAGATAAATCGAGTATTTCAATGTGCACGTGAAATTTCCTTTTGTCTCATTTGTGTTTTTGGTATAGAATATGTTGATTCGTATACACAGCTAATTACAGGAAGGGGAGCCTTGGAGCAACTGTAAAACTGTTTCCGTATGACATATAGGTTACGGTTTCAAGCCGTGAAAACAGCCACTAATACTTACAATATTATGGTAGATTGTCTACATCGCACCTCTGAGATGCGATCCTTCTTCGAAACTTGCGAAAATGCGAGATGCTTTATACACCGGACTATCAGTTGGTTAGACTTTTGGAAGGTTAAATGATTGATGGACATATCATGACTCAAATAATAGTTGTTATTTCACCGTACACATGGATAAGGTATTTAAACCAAAATTTATCTAATTAACCATATACGTAACTTGAAATACATAAGAAAATTTAACAGAAAATTATCTACTAGCAACGCAAATTATCTTTGAACTTTTATTATATATTACCTGTTGTAACAAAGATTGGTCATATCAATCCTCACTATTACTCAATTTGGGCTATATATTCCAATATACCATACTTTAGGATTCTTTAGTACTAAGATTTCTATAATTTCTACTGACATACAAATTTGTTACTAAAACCAAACCTAATGCAAGTATTCCATTATGACTAAGCCTTAATCATAAGTAGTTAGATATTATTTATATGTACTAGTTTTTAGATACGTGCATTCTACGTGAGTCCCAGGCAATTAGTATAAATAATTTTTTCTTATCTAATATAATTTCTGTGATTTAAATGGAATTAACACACTATTAATTATTGTGATTTGATAAGAAAAGCGAGCAATTTCAACTGGAAATATGTATGACTATCTTAACAATTTTTCTATAGAAGTAATTATAAAGGTGTACAATTATTACCAATTTTATGATGCACCAATCCAAGTAACCTGTTAAAACAGTTGTAACACAAAATTAAGACTTAATAGAAACAAAGAATTTGATACCCATACAAAATAATAAAATGTTACGGTTAGAAAGAACTCATGCACCTATAGGATTAAAACAAAATTATGTACCGCGGATCGTAGAAGAAAAACGTTGAGGCAAACTCAGACATATTTCAACATACAAGTAGTGAACAAAGGAAAAAAAATTACATGGTAAATCTGTAGATTTCCTATATTATTTCTTTTAATAATGATGGTACACGGTCAAAATCGGAGAGCTCGATTTTGAAGATTTGATCATGCCCCGAGCTCGAGTTTGGGAAGCTCGAAGTAAGAATCAAGCCTGGATTGGATGTGCGCACCTCGAGAAGCAAGTCGGAGATCCGTCATGATTTGCCTCGAGGGCGGTACAAATTCGACGACACTCAAGAAAGAGAGGGAATTTCTCAAGGACACGTGAATAAGGGCATAAATTATGGGATAAGATTTGTACGAAATAGTACAAGTCCGTACTAGGTTGTTATACAGCTGTACCAATAGAATTTTTTACCATAATTGAAAATGTACCATATTAGGATTTTTTTTCTCCTATATAAAAGGGAACCCTATCATTTGTAAGGATAATCTCATTCAATGCAATAGAATATTCTACTCTGCTTTTCTCGTTCACTGTACTCAACAATTGTTCTTCAGCTTTATTATTCTTACTTCATTGTTCATACTTTATTGGTTCTTAGCTGACCTCGAGGCCTCCGAAATTATTGAGCTCGAGGTCCCCGATGCTCCAACAACACTGGTTTGGTTCATCAATTCTTCTTACTTAAACCTAATATTACTTGTATATTCACTAGTATTAGAATAAATCACATATCTTTAAAACCACAAATTATCTTTAATTGTTACTTATATTTTTTGAGGTAAATAGTTTGGCGCCTGCCGTGGGGCTAAAGATAATAGTGATTATTTTAGTGCTAGTTTTCTGATAACATACGTTATTCTTCACACTTTTTCTTGCCAAGATTTTTTGATTCTCAGGCTTAGACATGTCTAGCACACAAAATACACCTATTCACGACGATGAAGGTCTTGGAAAAAATAGCGGTATAGGGGTCGGTGTACCACCCACAAACCCTGAGCAAGTGCCAAATATGGAGCCGGTTGATATCAGCTCACATAACACTCTAAACACGGATTCAGGTGCAGACCCCGTAGGGAATACACGTAGGGAAGCCTGGCCCGATGACCAAAGAGCACCAGGAATGGAACAAGGTGGAGTTAGCCTTATGCTGCAAGCCCAACAAGTCGCCATCGCTCAACTTCAGAGTCAGAATAGAACTCCAAACACAGCCGAACCAGTGAACACTCAGCGTGTGAATCCAGCGCTAGAGAGGCCCGATGAAAGTGGCTCGGGGACTGACCCCATGATTATGAAAATGCTCGAAGAGCTCGCCAAAAGGATCGAGGCCGGAGAAGAAAAGATTGAAGAAAATAACAAAAAGGTAGAGACATACAACTCAAGAGTCGATCAGATACCGGGAGCACCTCCGATTTTGAAAGGACTTGACTCGAAGAAGTTCGTGCAAAAACCATTCCCATAGAGTGTGACTCCAAAGCCCATCCCGAAGAAGTTCGGATGCCAGACATCCCAAAATACAACGAGACCACTGATCCCAATGAGCACATCACCACATATACTTGTTGAGGAAATGATTTGGAAGACGATGAAATTGAGTCTGTTTTCCTAAAAATGTTTGGGGAAACTCTATCTAAGGGTGCCCTGATTTGGTACCATAACTTACCCCCGAACTCTATTGACTCGTTTGCCATGTTGGCAGACTCATTTTTAAAGGCATTTGCTGGTGCCATAAAAGTTGCAACAAGGAAGTCCGATGTATTCAAAATAAAGCAAATGGAGAATGAGATGTTGGGGGAGTTTGTATACCGCTTCCAATCAGAACGAATGGAATTACCACCGGTCTCCGCTGACTGGGCCGTACAAGCCTTTGCTCAGGGATTAAATGAACGTAGTTCGATAGCTTCAAAGCAGCTAAAGCAAAACTTGATTGAGTATCCAGTCGTGACTTGGGTGGATGTGCATAACAGGTACCAATCAAAAATTAGGGTCGAGGATGACCAGTCGGGAGCCCCCCGGGCTCAGTTTATCCAAGCAAGTTGCTAGCAAAGGAGTCAGGAAATGCAGACAGGGTGTCAAGGTCGAATAAGGAGAGATATCAGCCATACATCAAGGATCGAAGGAACATCTCAAGGCGTAACATACCTCGAAATGATCGAAGAGCAGATCGAGGTCAAAGTTCTCGGGGACTCATGAGCAAAACCGAATTTGATAAGAACTTAGGACCAGCGGAGGCGCCCCGATTATTAGAGTACAACTTCAACGTCGATGCTTCAGGTATCGTCTTAGCCATTGGAAAACTTAGAGATACTAGATGGCCCAAGCTTATACAGACCAACCCTTCTCAGAGGAACCCCAACTTGGTGTGCAAGTATCATGGTACTCATGGGCATAGGACCAAGGATTGCAGGCAACTTAGAGTGGAGGTAGCTCGGTTGTTCAACGAGGGGCATCTTCGTGAATTTCTCAGCGACCGGGCCAAGAACCATTTTCGAGAAAGAGATGCAAACAAGAAGAATGAGCCCGAAGAACCTCAAAATGTCATTAATATGATCATCGGAGGAGTCAATGTCCCATATGGACCCATATTCAAATGCACAAGAGTATCTATCGCAAGGGAAAAACGGGCTCTCGAGACTACATGCTCGAGGATACACTTACATTCAGTGAGGAAGACATCGAGGCCTTATCTTAGCCTCACAAGGATGCACTGATAATTTCTATCCTTTTAAATAAAGTTCAAGTTAAACGTGTTCTCCTGGATCCTTGTAGCTCAGCAAATATAATCAGATCAAGGGTTGCTTGACCAAACCATACCTGCCTCTCGAGTCTTGAATGGATTTAGTATGGCAAGTGAAACGGCAAAGGGAGAAATCATCTTGCCAGTAAACGTATCCAGAACCGTTCAAGACACAAAATTCCATGTGATCGAAGGCGACATGAGGTACAACGCACTCCTCGGGAGACTGTGGATACACAACATGAGGGCGGTGCCTTCAACTCTTCACCTAATGATAAATTTTCCGGCGGAGGAAGGAGTAAAAACAGTCTACGGAGAGCAACATGCTGCAAAGGAGATGTTTGCTATCGAGGAAGTGATGTCGCTACCTAAGCCCTTGACCTCGAGCAACAAAGGTAAGCGGGAGGCTAAATAGCCACCGCAACAAGTAACCGAACTTCTTAAAATAGGGCCTATTCGGGAAGTAAAACACCTCGAGAGGTTAGCCAACATGGTTCTAAAAAGGGAAACAAAACTTAGAATGTGCATAGATTATAAGGACTCGAATAGAACATCCTTTCCCCTTGTCAGGCGTCGATCGTATGATCAATGCCACAGTTTGCCCTGAGACCCTAACTTTTCTCGATGCCTACCCCGGACACCATCAGATTCAGATGAACCCGGAGGACCAGGAAAAGGCTTCGTTTATTATTCAGGATGTTGTAACCTATAGTTACAACGTAACACCCTTCAGGCTGAAAAAATGCAGGAAGCTACGCCTAGTTAACAAAATATTCGAAAAACAAATAGGCAAAACAATGAAAGTTTGTAGTGATGATATGTTTATTAAGTCCCTGTGTGCAGAGGACAATTTAATTTATTTACAGGAAACATTTGCGATCTTGAGGAAATACAGCATGAAGCTTAGCCTGGAGGAATGTGCCTTCGGGGTTGGCCCAGATGAGTCCCTCGATGTCGCGGCATAAAATCGAGGTACCAAAATCAAGGATATCAGAGGTATCATGATCGAGGATAGCGTGGAGGCCGTGCAAAGGCTAACAAGACAAATGGCTACCTTGGGTCAATTCTTGTCAAGGTCGTCAGATCGAAGTCACCAGTTCTTCTCTTTGATCAAAAGGGAAAAGGGCTTCACGTGGACCCCGGGATGTTAGCGAGCCTTAGAAGAATTATAGTGATATCCGCCCAACCCACCTTTGCTTCATACCCCAATGGCAGATGAAAAATGAGAAGCAACACTTGTACGAATGATCGCGCAAAAGCAAAGGACCAAAAGGCACTACAATAAGAGGACCAACCTCCAACATTTCAGAGTCGGGGACTTAGTTCTACAAAAAGTCACCCTCGATACCGCTGCTAAGGTACGATTTTATCCTTTTGTCCATTTGAGTTGAAAGCTAACTCATTACAGATTTTGGATCGACGACATACGATCTCGGAGGCATCATTTCTACACAAAGGCCCTAGGTTTTAAAGCATGTGTTGCACTCTTTTTTCCTTAGACCGGATTTCGTTCCAAATGGGTTTTACCAGAAAGGTTATTAACGAGTCAAAAATTATGTGGTACCTAAGGAAAACTCAACAGTATTCAAAGCTTCTTTTCAATCAACCTCGAATACTGGGAGGCATCACCCTCGGAGGCTATATTTTTGAAAAATACTTTACACCTAAGAGGGCCTCGATAGGAGAACTTTGTAATGGGCTAAACAGTCAAATGAACCGTGTCCATGAAGAATAGTCGAACCCCGACGGCAAAACATGTACGCATATATCGACCATTTGAAGAAACATTCTGGTTATGTCAAAAACACTTTGTTTACTATCATACGAGCTCTACACTTACAATCCTATGGGAAGCGGCTCAATGGCCAAAGCACCCCGACATACTCGGGGACTGTCACTGACAGTCAATATATCCGAGTCATCAAAAACTCGGACTCATAAGACCTCAAAGAGGCATCCCCTCGAAATAAAGGCCAAGGCCAATATACTCGGGGACTAGTTCTTCGAACAAATTCGGAAAGGTTATCGGGAAACAATTCCAAATGACGTACCCGAAGGCTATGTCCACACTAATGACTATAGTCATAATGCGGCTCGGAGACGTCCGACTTTCTCTATAAATTAAAGGCCTTCAACTATTGAAAAATTAGTTAAATCAGGCTACCCTCGGCAAAAGCAAAATATGAAGGGCTTCGATAAATCCAGCCCTCAATTAATCCAAGGGCTTCGATAACATCGGCCTTCGGAAATACCCCAAGAGATATTCAATTCTGTTTACTCAAATAAATAGCCAATAAGGTTCCAATACGTCAAACCTTCAAAAATCGGCCAATAGGTACAAAAACACATGCTATGGCATAACTAAATTTTCACTAAGTCTTTTAGCCGAAATGAGGAAAAAATTACATAGCCATTTTAAAGGCCAAAATGGCCCAACTTAAAGAGCCTAAGGGCTAATTTTAAAATAGCCTAAGAGCCAATATATACGAGCCCAAGGGCCAACTTCGAAAGGCTTAAGGGCAAAAAACTTATAGTTCGAGACTCCGCTCTCATTTCGATCCGGACTCAAGGTTCACAATGTCCCGAGATTACATCGGATCTATTTAAACTTAGCTCGAGGATTATTATACCTATCAATAAAGATTTAAGGGTTTTATTACCCCCGAACCCCAAACCGATCCTCGGACTAATCATTCAAACGAAGTCTTCCATAAATAAAGGAAATATTAAGTCCATCACAAACTAAAGACGAGATAAAAAGTTCCCCTCATATTTCCAAAAGATGATAACAGGAGATATTTACACGATGGAGGCTTACAAAGAAACAAAATAGAGTAACCTAAAACTACTTCGGGGTCACATCTTTGGCAGCTGCACCTCCAGGAGTCGCATCTTCGAGATCATCATCCTCGAGGACTTCATCTCCGTCTCCTTCACTCTCAGAGCTACTAGATGAATCATCCTCATCGGAAAGCAGAGCGACAACCTCTTCTTCCAAAATCTTTGTCGTTTCAATATCGGTTGAAAGATCGAAGCCGCAAGTATGTGCCTCATCGAGGGTTATCCTCCGGGATTATCGCCTAGCATGTTCAAGTGTACTTGATAACTTAGCCTCCGCCACAGAAGAGATCTCCTTTGCCTAAACATTAGCTGCTTCGGCATCGACTCGATATGAAGTCATGATTGCATGAGCATCGGATTTAGCCTTGGCTAGCTCAGCAGATCTGGCTTTAAGCTCCTCGATCTCGAGACCCCAAGCTAGGCTTTCCTCTTTCACACCTCGAAGTTGGCATTCGAGTGAAGCTAGCTGCTCTCTTAGAGTTTCCTTCTCAAAGGCGAGATTGTCCATACCTTGTCTCCACCCTAGGGTCTCGACTTCTTTCATCTTAAGCTCCTCCCAAAGCTGCGCCTCCAAGTCGGCCTTTTTGATGAAACTACGAAATTAAAAGTGTCAGTCGCCAAAACACACAGTGCATAGCAAATCCTCGAGAGCTGTGTTACCTTCTCAACATACTCGGTCCGTCCTTGGCATGCCTGCGTCAACTCAACTCATAGATCATAGATCTCTATCTCTTTCTTAGCATAGAGGTTTTTGACAACATCCCTCTCTTCCGAAATCTTCTTAAGCTCAGCCTCGTATCGAGCAAGATCGGTTTGGGACTTGGAAAATGCCCTTTTATGGACCACCACAGCCTTCATAAAGAGGGAGGTTCAGAACAACTAAAACAAAGGCGCATGCATAAAAAACAGAAAACTCACTTGTTTAAAAAGTCTACGAGCCTCATCAAAAATGAAAGAAGCATCTGGGTCGGGGCGATCTTCAAGTTGTGCGAGACATTCTCGAAAGATGTCATGCCCTTCATGGCTTGCTTCCACTTCAGAAGACCTCATATTCTGAGCATCTCGAATTTGTCTCTCGGAGAATTCGGGGCCAGGAGGTGAATCATCCACGTTGATTACCCCAAGTGATCCACTCGGGGCTTTCTCTTTTATTTGAAGAGGCTGGGGATTAGGTCGTTAGGCCTTGCCCTCCAAATGGCCTCCTAGGTGAGGTACCTTTTTTTTGCACGATGGCTCGGGAACTTTGTTTGAGCTCCCTTTGGAGATTTCTTCGGCTCTAGAATGAGCCATATAAACTGTCACCAGCTCGATGGGCTTTGAAGTGCCGACATTTTTTCTTTAACAGGTTACCTGCAGCCAGTCGTCTTCTTCTTCCTCCTGATCCCGAAGTGGTTGGGCCGTTTCCAGAGATAAGGCCGCTGTATCGGCCTTAGGCCTTCGAGCCACGCTCTTCTTTGGATTTAGGGGATTTTCATATGACTCCCTTCTTCTTCTTTTTTTCTTTAGAAGACTTCGGAACCTCTACTTCGTCAGTCGGGGCCAACCGCAAATCAACGGCGTCTCCAAGACCTACATGAAACCGAGGTAAGTATCCCATGACAGAAACATAAGTAAATAAACAAGAGAACTCACCATGGTTTTTGGCCTCCCATCGTCCCTTGGCCAGATCTCACCAGCAATGCTCCGAATAAGAGGAGGCGGAGGCCAGCTTTCGGACCCTACCGTCGAGGTTCGGGACCCCACCAGGAAACCAAGCAGTGGCTGCACCATCGCAAATGGGTTAGACCAATGAAAAATATAAAGCCAGGAAAAGAAAAAAAAAGCAGGGTATAAACATGCATCGTACTCACGTTTCATGTTCCACTCCTCGGGGAATGACATCCAATCAGTAGGAATCAGATCGGAGGTCCTGACTCGGACGAACTGGCTCATCCATCCATGGTCTTTGTCCTCATCGATACTAGAGAAGAAAGATTTTAAGGATCGGCAGTGCAATTTTATCAAACCCCCACGATAAAGTCGAGGACTGTACAGTCTGATCAGATGATCGAGGGTAAAAGACATCCCCTCAACTTGGCTCGAAAAGAACCTGATTAAGTAAACGATTCTCCAGAAGAAGGGGTAGATCTGGCC